CAGCCTGCGCTGCTGCCTTTCGGCCAGAGATCGGATCCCGCAGGAAGGTCCCAACCCACCGCCGTAGCTGCCAGCACTCAAGGAAAGCTGAGCAGGTTTCAGCTGGGCCTGCGGGGCCGTGTTAATCTTTTTTTCCTACATGTCCTTCCATCTTCAAACCAATTACTCTTCCAGCTTGCCATCTCAAAAATCAGACTTAATACTGGAATCCCACCATGTTAAAAAAAAAACAAAACAAAACAAAACATGAAATATTAAGAAATGAAAATAAGCTATTAGAGTCCTAGCCTGAAATCAGGGTGTAACTCACCTGGATGCATGGAGAAAGGGGATCCTTTCAGCTGCCGTACAGACAGAGAGCAGGGCTGCCAGTTGCTGTTCTATTCAGCTAACCGCAGCCCACTGCTGAGCCAAGCCTTAACATGTTTTCCCCTAAAACTGTATAGGGCCTTTGATTTATGGCATGGTGACAGCTGTTAATCCACTAAGTCATGTTTGTCAAGCCAAAAAAAGTCACGTGAAGATTAGTGCCAAGAGTTACATACAAAGACAAAATTACTTATGCCAACTCATATGCGTCAAGCAACCAATAGATCCAAACGATGTGTCAGGCCATTTCCTTCTCAGGCTCAACCTTTCCCTCTTTGGCACACAGTTTCTGCACAGGTAAAACTGCTCAGCTGATCCACAGCCAACTGTGGAAAGCTATAAAGAATGGGGGAAGGGCATTAAATGGGAAGATACCACAAGGCTGTTCCACTGTCTGCATGCAACCGAGCAGCAGAAGGGAACGAGACATCCTGCAGGGTGCCAACTGGAAAAGCAGTACGTGTGTCAGTCCCCTGGCGCATCCAGGCAGGCACGTTGCAATCACATCCTGCGCTTCCCGACAAGGACAGTTTCTCTGTCCCAGCTCCACAGTTGTCATTCATCCAGCACAAGTGTACTGCCACTCCTCACAGCCAGCCAGGGGCAAACTGGCTAATACTCTTAGCTTGCCTGTGCCACTCGTCTTACACTTTGTGTTAACTTTAATCTTATACGTGTGGAAGCTTCAGTTGCTTTTCTCAGCTTACGAGCGAAGGCCAATGATCATAAAGCCAACCCTCACAATTCACCTCTGTTCTCACAGACATTCCCTGCCAGGTACAGAGGTTGCTGGAGATGAGGCCACAGCACTTAACCTCTGAATTAGAACAACTCATTTTGCCTGCTTGAAAAAAACCCACACTGTCATTCCCAATCAGTAGCTGTTCTCACAAAAACTAAGTCCAAGAATCAGGTTTAGACAAACAGTATCATTAATTTTGACAGGATATAAGTTACCCTTTCAAAGGAACTTCTCAGTATTTAGTAGTTCCATACATGCATGCGAGGTTTCTGTAATGCTTTCCACAGCTACACAGAACCAGCTACACCAAACTAAAATGTGTAAACATAATAAAAAGAGAGCCCAAAGTTAAGAGGCCTCTGAAACAAACAATTCCTCTTCCTGTTGCTTGCATAATACTTGGCACATCTAATACTAGTTCCGCATAGGATCTGCACGACTTTTATTCTACACAAAAGCACAGTCACATAAACAAATCCTCCCTCCCAATTTTAGTCTAATGCCTTCCCCTTTCTCACTTCTGAGTGCATTTGAAAACAAAACCCTAATACATGTGCTACTCCAGGTTTTACAAACTTTAGCTCCAATTCTAAATCTGGACCCCTGCCAAACCCTACTCTAAACCCAGCTGGTTTTGGTTGGCACCAGCCTAGAAGTCCCACCTAGATCCACTTAGGATAGGTCACTAACTTCAGGCTGGCCTAAACCAAAATCACAACCACTACAGTAGCTGTAACCTAGTGATCACCGATACTTCGGTATCTGAACTTTATCAGGTTACCTGTATTAGCAACCCTAAACCTTTATCTAGTGGTCCTTTTCTATAGACAGAAAAATAGCAAAACAATTACATTTGAATAAAAAAACCCAAAACACTAGCTCAATAATTAATAATAAATAAATGACCTCTAATAACAGCGCATTCCCATGTAGAGGCAAAGTCTTATTTTTCAAAGCTGCTGAACACCTACGTTTTCATTGATTTTACTGGACAGAAAATGTACTGGGAGAAGACACAGTATCTTTAAAAATATGACAGGGAGATTAGACATCTTTGTGAATACATCAATACAAATGACTTCACTAAAGAGGAAAAACCCCATGGTTTACAGTCACAGCTTTTAACACCCCCCACCCCCCCATTTTTCTAATTTCTACAAGCTTCCCATTCCCAGCTGTCCTGGTATAGTCAGAGTACAGTCTTTTTTCCCAGGTTTTGCTCCAAGAGGTTGATTCTCATCTCTTTCCATGAGAAAAGAAAGTTGTTTTGGTTTTGTTTTTTTTTTAAAAACATATATTTTTAGGATTATCTTTAAATATTAAAATATCCCCTTCATGCTCCCATGCATATTTCCCCACAGAGTTCTTACAGAGATGGTCTGCAATTTTAATAAAGAAATTACTTAAACATAATGTACCTTAGAAACTGAACACACCAACCAAACATGAAGAAACTACTTACCTGCAGCACAGAGCCCTCCCGCAACAGCAAAGCCTAGGCAGGGTGAGGGGGTGCTGTGCGAGGGCTGCACACACTGCCTGGCTGCACCCTTCCTCAGGACCACCGGCACCCCAGGGTGGCTGCTTGAGCAACAGTAATGCTCCCTGCTCACCAGGCAACTGGGCCTTCCTGGGAAGCCCTGGTAATTATACTGACCCCTCCACAGGGCACCTCCATGTCTGTTGAGGCTTAGAATGCGAGTTCTCCAGGATGGGGATTATTCTTCCATGGAAAGCCTCTACCTGATAGTGAGCACAATCTCAAATGAACTGTAGTAACTGGGTGATGTAGAAGAAAAGCAGTAGTTTCCTCACATCATCTTTGGTATTTTTTTCTTGGAGATATTCTTCTTCTGGCATACCTCTAAATCATAGCATTTGTAAGGCTAGCAAAAAAAAAAAAGCAGTAGTAAAAGCAAAAAATAGTAGACACAGAAGCAAAACAGAGTAAGAAATATATTCTCATATATCGTTTATCGACATGACTTCTGCCCGATTTTAAAGACTGCAAAACTAGCAACTTCAGTTGAGTGCTGCAGGGCTGCAACACTGGTTTCAGGTAGTGGGGTGACAAAAAGTCCGTATTAACTGTTCTATTATTACTCTTGCAGGCTGTATTTACACAGGAAGATACTACTCTTTACATGAGTCCCAGGTGACAGAAGAAAAGTGTTGTTCATCAACACAATAAACTATATTGCTAATTTACATGTATAGTGCTTTGCTGACCAGTACACGTACAAATGGTCTTGTTTTCACAGCAGTGCTGGGATGTATTTTCATTGCAACACATAAACCAGATCAGCCTTCTCCTTTGTCTTATAGATCAGTGTGAATGACAGTGCAAAATTAATTACTTCTGTAAGTTACTGCTTTAGAGACTACTGCCCTTGCATGTGTACAAATTTTGAAATTATTCTTTATCAAGCTGTAAATTATTTGCTTCATTAAGTTGCAAGGTTGTACAAGCTGAATAGATTTGTTGCAACTTTTCCATTTGCCAAGCAGGGTGTTTTATTTCCTTTCTTAAATCCCATGGCTTGGTATCACGGAGATAAACAGATAGATAGGAGCAAAACCAAGATGGAAACACTGAATTATCAGGTATGGCCAACATCTGTGCTTTAAAGCTATGCAACATCTCATGAACAACACTTACATTACAGACTCAAGGTAGTCATAACCTCCCAGATCCATGGTTGCCAACAGTCACTGCCTGGAGGAAAACAGTTAAAATTCTCCACACCGGCACTGTTGTGACACTGTCAGGTACCAATAATAGAGTTGTTCTTCCCATCAGTTTCAGTTTCATCATCTACATAGAGAATATTTGAGAAAACTGAATCTGTCACATCGTAAGAGTTCTTGGAGGACTGGTTTGAAGACATACAACGGTGGTGGTGGGGATGCGACTGTCCAGTTTTGGTGCCTGTTTTTCTGCAAATCACTTTGCCAAGGACTGAGAAAAGTAAAGCAAGTACAAGTGTACTTCAAATTACTGGAAAGCAGTGATACATGTACCAAACCCAACTGTTTACTTCAACTTAAGCTTACACTTTAATTTAAAAATAAATAAATGAATAAATAAATGAAATCATCTTTGCTACCTTCACATACTGCCTTACTAAGAAACTTAGTTCATGCGTCTATTTTACCTAGCGTGAATAGCCATAATAATTATTTATGCTGCCATAATTTGTATTCTTACAGATTTACATCACTAAGTCCAAATCCTGTAAAAATTTTAGCAGTAATTTGGTTATATTCACACAACTAATCCAGCAAAGAGCCAATTACATTTAATGAGGTTTAAAAAAACGCCCTGACCCCTGCACAGCAAGGCATTAAAGCATCGAGCCCAGAACGAAAGAACAGGCAGTGATGTTGCAAAGCAAGCAGCAGGTGGCAGAAAGCGTCCACTGAAGCATAATTTGGACTAAATCAGCCAGAGAACTCTCTCAGATCCTAGAATCCCAACAGAACAGCTACAGAAACCACCTTTACGTTATTATCTATGCCATTATCACTCAGGTCGCAGCACATAGAATAAAACCAGATCAAATATGCCGTAGTCATTTTTGAAGAAACAAATATTTGCCTTATGAACATGGGAAAGCTACCACTACCAGTGAAAAAAACAGATTTCACTGAATTAAAAATCATCTCACATAAAGTTGTACAGCTATAGGTGGGGGAACCCAAATTAAGCATCCAGGTGAACAATAGCAAGGATAAAAGTACAGGAAACCAAGATTCTCCAGTTCACAATGGTAATTTCTAAATTTGTAGGATCTTACAAAAAAAATTCAGAGTTACTGCACAGTTAAATGCCTTCTGCTGCTGTGACTTGATAAAAAACAAGTAAGTACACTGGGTATGAAACAAGCAGTACAAAAAAAAGACTTTTAAAGCTGTCATTTTGTCTGTTCCTAAAAAAGATGCAGCTAGCTGCACCTCCTCATGTGGATGGAATAGAAAGTCAGTAAGAAAATATCTAACGCTACCACATTTATCTACTTGATAAGGAATTTTTTATAAAATCAAGCAAGACTAAATGTAGACAGTAATAGAATTACTCACTCTAGCTGCGCATATTAATGCGAGCATACAAGTTTAGATGCCAGTATTGTTAAGTTAATCCAATGTGGCATTTACTTTTTATGCATTAAGACACAAGAGGAGCACTCAGGAGAACAACATCCTATAGAGATAATGAATGGTAGTTTTGACTGAAATAATCTAAGAGCTCATTAAAAAGTTATATAAATGGACCAAAGTTCCCCATATATGTTAATTAATTTTTTCCTCTATTACAGAAAGATTGTTTATTAAAATTAGTTCCTAATTCATACAAACCCCAGATTTTACTGCAATTTTATGGGAAAAAGTTATCAATGAAATTTTTACATATGTGTATGTGTTTCCTCAGGCAAACACTGAAAGCTTTTATTCCTTTGATCAGAAATCATATCAAAGAAACACTGAAATATGCAATTGCAAAAGCATCAATTTCTATGCTTAGAATTCTGTATTTTCAGTAAAAGTAGCCGTCATTTTTTGACACAAAACAAAAAAACCCCCCACAGTTCTTTGGAAAAAAAGCCACAGTTCTTCACAGAAAGACCACAACTTGAAACACTGAACTGTATTCTAGATGACAGAACAGAAATCAAGTACCACCACAGGAATTTAATCCCAATTTGGATACTGAGGCATCCGGTTTCATGTTATACTTTAATAAGAACTGTTTAAATTCCCAGAATCTGATTTTGAAATTACATTACAAAATATTTAAACAATATTTAGTTATGTACATTCTGCTCCAAAAATGGACTGTGGAAATTCTTTACATTTCTCTTAGAAATACATAAAAACCACAGCACAGGTCAACAATCCACTGACAATTAACAGACACAAGTCACGAAGGAAAAATACCCGTGGAAAAGTTTTAATCTATTACTGCTTCAGTAACAGCATTTCACTGTCTCTGCAGACTACTTTAAGTAGTTTGTTCTCCTGGCCCCAAAACATTATCCCAGTTTACCTTGCATGTTGGACAATTACTCATTAGAGTACGTCTTTCACAGAAAAAGATGACAAATATTAAGAACAGGAAATTAGGAGTTCAGAAGATTTTAATACAGGAGAGTCCAGGCAAGTGTACCCTGTGTAAATCATCTAAAAGGGAAGAAAAAGTAAAATTGACTGTGCCCCTCTGATAACCTTACCATACATATTCTATGGAAAACTTTACAGAGTTTACTCCTCATCTTACTTCAAAACATGCCACTTGCATTGCTACTTGAAAAATAACACAGATATAAAATAACTAGTTTAAGACTGTAGGAACAAATAGTTTAAAGCTCTTTTACCCGTCCAGAAAACACATGCCAAATGCTGCAAAAAAGCAACTACATTCAGAGAAACAGATATCAACCTCCGTTCCACATTTATCATCAGTATATGCTAATAACCATCAATTTGGGTGAGGGCAGCATAACAAAAATTCTCTTACATAGCCTCAAAGTGCAAAGGAATAACTTGTTAAGGAAAAAAATTAAATGCAGTAGTTTTTCCTATAGGTAACTGAACTTAACATGAAGGGGAAATTGTTTGGGTTTGATTGTGTTTTATTTTGTCACACAAAATGAAGAAGAAACTGCAAGTTCTAATCCCACAGAAGTCTGCTTAGACCACAGTCTTCCTGTTGAACCATTACAGAAGCAACAGCTCCCTGGTTTCACTCAAATGTTTGTGGAAGCACAAATTCATTAATCTTTGCATTGTGTACACATCCATTTTGAGAATCTTTACTGTTCTGCTTCCTCCCACCAGTCAACCAATTCAACTGGGAAATTATTCAGAAGTTACTTTAAAGCTGTTCTTAAGTTACTTCATGACAAAAAAAACAAGACTACTGCAATAAAGTGAGCTTTCAGGCAAACACACTGGAAGTTTCTTCAGTTCATTAGAGACAGACCAAATTAAGGCTGCACAAGAAGTCAGCGCTTATGAACCAGGGCATCGAAAAGAGATCCCAGCTGCCTGAATCACAGCAGTTTCAGTGAAATAGGCAGCCACTGAAGCCTGGGGATGAGAACTGAACTTTAACTAGTATTCTGTATTTTGTCTGAAAAACATGTATGCCAGTCACCAAATATCTCTCAGAATTCTAAACACCAGAACAACAGATGACAAAAGATGGATAGGTATTTAAAACTGTGATGCCTAAGTTCTCCTATATACATATATATTAAAAAAAAAATTAACTTACATTATAATAATATCAAACTGCATAGCATTACAAAAGAAGGCAACTTGAATGGCTGAAATGAAAAAATGCGAACGTTACCAACCCTATTATTAACATTCTGGAATTTGTAATATCATAGAGTAGGCTGTTGCCAGTAACAGCTATAGCCCAGTTTAAGCAAAGTCTGCCTTAGTTCCAGAGAAAGGATTGATTTGGACAAGTTGTTGCACGCTCTGCTTTCATGTCCTCCTAGCAGGTTTTGCTGTTAACTGCTTCTCTCTTTCAAGTTCCTTCTCACGTTGCTGTTCTCGTTCTAGTTCTTCCTTCTGCCTCTTTTGTTGCAGTTTAAGTGCTCTTTTCTAAACAGAAAAGACAAGAAAATAATTGCAAGTTTCATAGATGTATTTAAGTTGCAGCTACAAACAAAATCCCTCCCATTTTCTTAACTTTATCTTCTCCAGTCCACCCTGCTTATGATCAGGTGTTGCATAAACTGTTCATTTTTTCTTCCTCCCTCCCATTTCCATGTTACTGTTCAGAAATGCTAAGTCTGTGATCTGCACAGGGAAAATACAAACTGGATTCCCTTCAATCTCACTAAAAGTCATCCTTCATGTACACCAGACACAGTGCGTACTGTGCAATTTATTACCTCCAAGACAAAATCCTTTTGTTGAACATCCTGAAGGACTAAGCTTGCCAGAACATAACCAGAGGCTGCCTATGTACCATGAAGTCAGTGAACTTAAGCCACTGTTAATATTACATTAACTAGAAGGAGAAAATCTTACATTTATGACAATCAAGTTTTCATTAAAAAGGCACAGAAACTGAAACGACAAATAGAACTAATTGGAATGGACTAGATTAAACGACAGAACAAAGCATGATTCTTACACCACTTAAAAACACCACTATGACACTGAGATTTACTAGTAGTTCAGATGCCTAGAGTTGCTTGAGCACAGGCAGTGAAAGTTTAAAAAATAAGACATGGTTTGGCGCTACTGAAAACATCCATTTCAGACAAGGACTGAAGATTCTATTTTAATCACAACTTTCATCATGCATCCAAAATAAAAGTTAGGTATTTAATTATGTATTCTTGACTTCTATGTTGGAAAGTAAAAATATTTATCCCACTCACTTTTAACTTTGATGTCTTCTCATGGAGCATCATCATCTCATTCCTAATATTCACTAATTTGTTGTGATAGTGTTTAGCTTCTGAAAACTTAAAAACCGTAACAGTTAAAGCAGCGACTGTCAAGTTTGACTTGTCAGGTTTTATAAAGCTACACAGCAAAACAGCAATCAAAAACATAGTGGTTACCAGAACAGTTTGATAATGCATTAAACATGTTCCAGTTATATATCAAGTTCACTTATTACATGTATTAATATAGAAAACTACCATATCTCAACAGGTACACCCAGTAATCTACTGAATTAAGAGTCATTAAACAGAATAAACTATTACCATTTTATGCACAATACATCAGTGTTTCATGCACCCTTCCTGCTGGTCTGGGGAGGTGCACAGAGCTCATGTTGGAGCCCCAGTCCTACCGAAAAATGGCACGCATCTGCTTTGGCTTTGATTTTGAACAACTAGACCTACTACCACTGGCTGACTGAGCCTACTCTTTCTTCCCAGTGCCCGTCCTATTTAAGGGAAATATGCTGGTTCCACACCCTCTCCAGCAACAATTTGTCCCAAATATCTGAACTAGTTGGTTCTTCTCCTGTAGGTCATTAAGAACAAGGAAAACATGCAAGTTGCTACTAATGCTTCAGCAAGAAAATCTACGCTAGCAGAGATTTAAGAAAGCATCAATAGTACTCACCAAAGCATTGATATCAAGAATGGAGTTACACTCTTTGAATTTTGAAATTTCTTGTTCTAATGTTTCTAGTAATACCACTTGGTTTTGTCTGAAACAAAAAAAGATGCATAAAACCAAAGTAAAGCAGTGCATATGCTTTTCAACCAGCCCTTCAAAGAAACACTACTTTTGGTCATAACAATGTAAGTACGTGCTTCCCAATATCAGATTCCTCTTATGCACTGCTAGGCGATTTCAATAAAGACATAAGTGAATGGTTTTAGAAAAACCCCAGCTGAGTACACATGAATTCAGCTGGCATCATACAGCATGGTAAGATATCCAGGATGAATATTCAAAAACCTTGAATAGGTTGCACTGAGTAAACATCCCAAGTGGAATGAAGGGAAAAACAATTAGCTCTTGACTTTCCACTCAGTTGCCTCTGCGTCATGCTGCAGGACTAAGTTATTTCTGTATAGAACTTGTGTGGGATGGAAGATCCTTAATAAGCACCAAGGATCCATGCAAATCAGCTAAAGTATTTCCAGACACAGGCTGTCCTTGGCAGCAGCATAACTACATCTCGCATTGTGAAACTCAAACCAACGTACCCTGCAAAATCTGAGACAGCTCTGCGTAAAGCCCTTTCCAATATCTTTGCATCCATGGCAGATCCAGTCTGCACTTGAGTATAAACTATTCTCAGTTATCAGTGAGATACCAATGTACAAATAATTCTTATCTGTTTAGCTCCTTAATTAAATTTTCCAAGCGTATCTTTTGCGATGCAGTTTAGAGACTAGACAAGAAACAACACACCATGCTACAAACTGCCCTGAGTATGAACTGCATGTCTGCAAACAAAAGAAATCTAGCTTTCAGCAGACTTTCCACTACAAAAGTGAACAAGTGTTTATGAAATATGCATGTCTTCTGCTGTACCTGGTGTAGGGTATTTTAGAGTTCTAGCACTATACATTCTTCACTCAAAGTTCTGGCAGGCTACACTGCAGCTTATACACCCCTCAGTACTCCCACAAATCACTTAACTATTCAGGATGCTATAGTCAGAATACAGAAATGCTACAAAACACGATATTCCAGTTAAGGGTAGCTAGAACATTATGCTGAAAAAAGTGGCAAACAAAGTATGCAAATATAAGAAGTCAGGTTTCAAAATTTACTTACGTAAGTTCCTGTAGTGCTGATTTTGATCGCTGAAGATCAGGCAGATAATGAGAAATCAATCCTTCAGTTAGCTGCTCCACAGCTTTCTCATCTATTAAAGGCAGATCTTCTACTACTCCTTCATCTGGAGATGCATCGCTAGGACCTACACCAAAGAACAGCAAGGTTGAATGTGACAGGTCAGCACACACTCCCAAGTTTCACCTAGAGCAACTATATTTTCCTGTTTAAAAATTAAAAGCATTTCAATACTGAAGTGATAATTCTTTGCAATTTATCAACCCAACTGTGCTTCCATTTTCCTCCCCCTCTTTAACCCTCCCTTATTCCCAGTCCTGTTCCATGAGCTTCCTTGGTGATGTCGTGGTTTAGCCCCGGCCGGCAACTAAGCTTAGTTGCCAGCCGGGGCTAAATCACGACAGGTGAACAGTTTATCTGAACACCAGCAGAATACAAAGAGAGAGAGAGAGTATTCCAAAGATATCTTACTAAAAAAAATTCCAAGTGCTCCAGCCTACTGAGGAAAAAAAAGGGGCAATATCAGTTGTTGTGGCTATGAATCAAGAATACCTAAACATTAACACACATACACCCCTTGCTGTCAAAGTTCAGGAATAAATCTAGGTCTACTAAATAAAGGTCTTAGCCTTTCAAAGCATATTAAGACCCCATTAAAACATCACACGCTGAACTCCAAAAGTTTGCAAGTGTTAGTTAACAGTTACCGTGGATTCTCTCTGGGCAAGCTGTAACGACTTACTGCCGCACTGCTCTTGCAGGATAGAGGACTGTCACCTAGAGGCCACACCGCATGGGAGAAAACGACGACAGCGGCACGCACTTGGTTTCGGAGCGGCCCCATCCGCAGGACCTCAGGCCGGGACA